GGGATTTGTTTAGTAGCAACATTAAACCTCCTCAGTTTGAAGTTGCAAAGCAGTAAAGCATGAAAACATCTGACGGGAGTGAAGAGTTTTATAGGCGCTATACAGCAGCAGACCTGTCATTATCTGCTGCTGTGTTCAGTTATGGCTCTGCTGTGCGCTGAGCCGCACTTTAGAACAGCTTACAGCCCAAAACACTGTTGTTAAAGTTGCGTGGCTGAGATGAAAGAACGCAATGAAGCCTGTCAATAAACTGAGTGCATAAACAAAAATGTGTAGAAGAAGACTTTAACACCATCCATTAAGCAGACAGGGAAGTAATTAATCATTATGCATAACTTAGTTACCTCAGCTATGTCACATATGTAAATGTGGACTATTTGATTTGGGGATGCATAAAATAAGATCAGGCTCTATGAAACTGCCTGTACCAGATGATCGATATTTACCTCTTAAAGCTGAAAACTGTGTTTTCAGGGAGCCTCGTGTTTTATTAACAAGTCATTTGACTTTTGTGCTGGTTCTTTGTATACAGGTTATATATGCATGCCAGTTAGAAAATGGGAGGAAAAAAAATACCCCTGGGGCTCCTGTGCCTGAGTTGACCTCATTAGTTTTTCTAATCTGTTATCTCCATCTGAAATTGAGCATTTAGATCACTCTGAAGTATGAATTTTTGCCTCACAGGGCTTACTTTCATACACTCATTTCATGAAAAATTGGCTATATTTAATATAAGAATCTACAATTTTAACAGAAAATATGGGGGATTTTAAGAGGTCCCTTTGAAAGTTATTTTAAAGGTTGATTCATTAAAATAAGGATGCCGCTAAATATATCTGAAAGCATCTTTATCCATCTTGTTTAGCTGATACCTACAAGAAAGGTCAAAGGTTCATCTCGAAACAGCGAAAAGTGGGGTAAAAATAACTAAGTGCTCTCTCATTAAAATTTACTCACTGTTTCCCCTTAAGGTGCAGTTCTGAAAGGAGACTAATTAGTGGAGCTGCTGGACGGGTGAAACCTGCTGAGGAGTGAACCATTCTGACACGCACTGCCAAGAAGCCCTGCTCTCCTCTCTAACACCACCCCCACATCCACAACCCCTTTTCGTCCCCTATAATGTGGGCACCAGACGCCGGTGCTAAACTGTCCTGCAGGCTGCCCCATTTCTACCTTTTACATGTACAGTTACTTGTCAAAGCATAATGTACTGTGTATTTCTTCTACAGGAGATGTGTAGGTTATCTGTAAATTAATATAAATATGCCATTTTTAATATATACATATATATATATACACACATAAATATATATATATGCACACACACAAACACATATGTATAAAAAGATATTCAGTTTGTGCAAAAAAAAAAAAAAATCAACATCCCTGCCACCTCATTTAGTGGACCATAGATTACTATATGCTGCTCTTAACATATTACCCCATCCCTCTAGATCATTTTGTACATATGGTTTTATTTTTTCATTGTGCTGCTGCTGATGATGATAATGATAATTATGACGATGATGATCCTGTGCTGCACCATAAAGTGAGAGGAAGAGACTGGATGTTGTAGCGAAACACACCCTCTAGTGGTGGGGAAAAAAACAACTTCTAGCCCCCATTCTAGCAACTACGTGATCCTTTCTTATGGACTCATTTTTAAAAAAAGCATTTTGAGGGGATGTGTCGACACGCAGGAAAAAACATGACAAGCACTTTCTTTAAAAAAAAACAAACAAACAAAAAAAAACGCATCAACTCAACGGACTATTTAGTAGCCAAGGACAAAATAAAAAAAGAGACGCCGATGCTCTCTGAAGTCGCACAAAACTTCCTCTCAGAGATCAAAGGGGGAAAAAAAGAAGAGGCAGTGCGTCATACATAGAACATGTCACTTGTTGTACTGTATGTTTCGTCAGGCGATGCATTTACACAAAAAGGACAACTACACTTTTAGCCGAGCTGGCCTTCTCCCCCCCCCCTCCTTTCAGACACAAACAGATGAAATAACTGAAAGACAGACTGCTTTAGCTCATAGTGTGTGTAGAGTGTATATGACCATGTTGAAGTGAGGTGACTTAATGATAAAACAAACAAACAAAAAAAAAACCTGTTGCTTGCTGTGACTTACATTTGGTGTAATCGTTAACGCTTTGTTTTCTGTCAGTTTTCACAGGGTGACCTGCCGTACTGCCCTGTTATCTGTCTTTTAGTTATTTCCGACGGACGACTCAAAATCAAGTCTTAAAAGCTTTTAATTTTACATTTTAATTTCTTCGATTTGCACGAACAACAAATCGCTTTATTTTGTGTCCCGTCCCCCCCCTTTTTTTTTTTTTTTTAATTTACTACTTCTTGTACTTTGGTCGAAACAGTGGTGAGCAAACAAATTTTCATTGTCAATAAAACAAAAAAAGAAAAATACTGTCAATGAATGAGTCTTCATTATTTTTCATGAATCACATAGCCATACTTTGCATTCACATTATTATTACGTTGTTTTCTATACGTATACAAAGGGCAGAACAATTTTATGTTATGTTAGTGGTTTACGAAAATACCCTGATGTTATAATGAATATGGCACCTGTATTCTGTAATGTAACCCTGTTTTGCATGAATTGTTTTTGATTTCCAGTTAGTTTGGGTTTTCTCATTTAATTTGTATTGTTTGAAAATGTTTAGTTTTAGGTTAGTTTCTATTAGGTTCAGTGTTATATATCCTCAGGGCAAGATTTAGGAAAATTTGTATAGGTATTACAAACAGGCCTAATCACAAACTACTAAACTAACAAATATTAAAACTACGTCCTATGTTTTTGTTTTAGTTTAAGTTCACAATCATATCAGCTTTTATTTTTTCAAAAGTTTAGCTTTGAATTTCAGTTAACTTTTTTCACCTCTAGTTGTAGTTTTAACTATAATAACATTCATCAAAATGTTAATAATTTGATTCTGATAACACAGGGTTAGTCGTTCAGTTCGATCTCACAACCTGAAAGTGCGTTAATTGGACGGACTTTTAAAAAAAATTACATACACATATAGTAGCAGTATAGGGGGCTTGTTTACAAGCTGTTGTTTTGTGTGTGTGTCATTTACCTTTTGTCCTTTTATGGTATTGCTCCCCTTTTTGTGATGCCTTTGTGAGAAAAAGCACCACAAAATGCCAACTCGGCAGCCAAAATGTATCCAAAAATCAAAACAAGAACAAACAACACGCCATTCCAGCTAAAGCTGTTCATTCATTTGGATTTAGCCTTTGTTAGTAACATAAAGTGACCACATTAACAAATGCTAAATGCTTCATATGACATTTTTGTTCACTCCCTTGCATTAAACACACAGGTCTGCACTTTAGTTGCATTACTTTTGTTTCATGACAGTCCTTCTCTGATAGCCTAAAGAGCCAGAATCATAAAAATGATTATTTAATTATTTCTAGATCTAACTGTATGATCCATTCAAAGTACAAATATGAATCCACTTGTGTGGATCTGGAATATTTTCCAAAGGCTAGACATCAATGTCTACCTTTTCTTCATTTAGAAAACAAGAAAAGTTTCTTATTGCACTGAGAAATTGTGCTCACATTTGCAGCACTTTATGCATAGCATGAGCATTTTTTCACACTTATTATTAATGGAGTGACTTTTGTGTTGCCAGAAACTGCTCAGATTGTCCAGTTGGCATCCCACTGATGAACTCAGGCTGCACCGTGTCTGGACGCTCTCTCTATTTGCTTCTCGATGTCTTTAAACACCTCTGGGTCCTCAATAGTTGGAGAGATCTGTGGAAAAAAAAAAATCTTAACATGGAAAAAAAAAAACGTATAAGAATTTTGAAACTACCTTGTAAGTGGTTCATTTATTCTTTTTTCTTTTAATATATTTATTTTTGGAGTTTTTGCTTTTATTTTGATAAGTCAGTAGACATTTCCTTATGATGGGCACATTAATGAATGTTTTTAGCAAGTTAAAGATTCCTGCGGGTCTCTTGCTGTTACCCTTGTGTTCTTTTTTCTACCTTTTTCAGATGCACGCTCTCTTCTTGGTCTGATCTTTGCAATACACCCACTTAGTCCTCAGTTTTTTCCCCCCTTTGAAGACATTTTTGATATTATTATTTTGATATTAATGGTCTTGAAACTGCCAGGTTTCTAGTCCAAAGCACAACTTTGATGGTGATAAATAGCACAGGTAATAGTCCAGAAAATTCACAGCGAGAGAGTGGGCGCTGTGTGCACAGTGAAGGCACAATGCATGAAAACAACAACAAACAGAATGTTTTCTGAGCAATCAATGCAGAAATCCTTGTCACACTGAAACGTTTTGTGCAGCTGAAAAATCTGTTGACAAATCCACCATATGAGGAGGTATTCTCAAGTTATTCTCTCCTGGAGACTACTGAGACAGCAACTCCAAAGAGAAATCTTTGGAGTCTGAAAACTCAAAAGAGCCACAATTTTGTTTTGAGTGAGTGTGTGGTTTACTAATGCACCATCGTCGCTCAAATTCTAAGTAGCAAAATTAGCATTACCATCTCCAGAGTTGCTGTAAAGCCTTTGCAAAAGCAAAAAAAAAATTTCATTCAGAGATTTTATCCTCCAGCTTCTACTTTTAAAGAAATGTTTGATGATAATAATGCACTACATGTGTCCTTAACAGCTGAGTCTTACCTTGTAGGGCTTGCCATTGACCAGATTGGATAAAGAGGAGCGAGGAATCTTTCCAGAACGTGTCTTTGGCAACCCGCGGACAAAGAGCACTTTCTTAAAGGCAGCCACTGGACCGACGGTGTCTCTCACAAGTTTCACAATCTCACTTACGATCTCCTCTTCCATTTTCTGCACACCTGAGACGTGTAGCGCAAAGCATAAAACGTTAATACCGCCGAGTAGTTTTATTTTATGCCCTAAATTCCTTGCAAAATTATGACACCCAGTGAGTATTCCTCACCATTCTTAAGCACACACAGAGCCAAAGGAACATGACCCTTCAGAGAGTCTTCTTGCCCTACCACAGCACAGTCTCCCACTGCAGCGTGCTGCAGCAC